TTTTTTTTTTTGTAGAATTAATGCAATAAAAGAAATCACTGCAAGGTGTCCATTAGCAATGACGGAAGATCTGCTCCAAGACCTTGTTCAGTACAAGACTCACAAAAATAAAAGTAAGAGTATTACATGGATATGACATTTAAACCTCCTTTCTCCTGTATCATTTGGTCCTCCATTGTTAAGGCCTTCCTAATAGTGTTGTACTATTTTAAAATTTTTTTTTATGGAGGTTGAGAGGTAAATTCAACATGTCTGTTTGACTTCTCTGCATTTTGAGTGTATATATGTAGGAGGTAGAACAGTGAAGTGTAGTTATTAGGGGAACTAATGGACAAAACTGAAGAAAGGAAACTGTTTGCTACTAATGATTTAGCCCTCAGGAAGAGCTGGATTCTGCTCTGGAGAAACCAGAGGAAGTTATAACTTCAGAAAAGACACGATCAAGCTGTCAATACTGATTATCCGAGTGGACTTCAAATTTGCTCAGACTATTGTTTTTTCTGTAATTCATCTTGACTCTCTTCCTGGGTAGATGTGATGATGTCTGCAAGAACTCTGATACACCTCTTCCGTTCTCTGAACCCGGAGATGCTGCAGAAGAAATTCAGGGTAAGCGTTTTTATGTGCGCTGCCTTTACCTTAAGGGTAGGCTTATGTGCTTAAAAATGAGAACAGGTCTCATAGCCCATTGAGAATGAGATGCGATCATACTTGCCTTCTTGCCCTGCCCACTCCCTCGCTGCTTTATAATGTCGTGTACTCTTATTTCAAGATATCCTTGGCTTGATCCATTTAAACTCTTTGACAGAATGATAGTGCTACAGAAGCTAGGTTATGTTACTAGAGTTCATGCTATATTAGTAATTCAGTATCTTCTCTCACAGGCAGAATTTCTCTTCCATCTGCACTCTCTTGTGCTCCAATTGTTTTCATTGATTAAAGTATCATCCTGCTTAACGTGTGTTTTGTTAACGTACAGGGTAAGCCTACTGAGGCCTCAGTGGAAGCCAGGATTCATGAATATGGAGAACTGGATGCCAAAGATTATATTCCAGGAGCAGAAGTACTGGATATTGAGAGTCAAAAGGACAAGGGAGGAGCCGGAGACGAAGGTTGGCCTTAAATTCTTTACCGTTTCTACTTTGAGCACCATTGCCCCTAAGTTTTTAAGTGGAAGCAGAATTTGGTGTGCCTGCATTTCATTTGTTGCATGTCATGTGCTGCATGGTTTCCAGATGTCTATATTTGTAAGTTAAGAGGCACTGACACTATCCTCAAGCAAGTGCAGTTTACCTAGTCAAGTTTGTTTGTGTGCATTCCTTAGTATGGTAGACACTGAGGGATGGAAAAACAGAGGGACAGACTTAGTACGGCTCTGAACCTTCATGTGTTGAGCTCTTTTTCAAGACAAATTTTTGTTGCATGTTATAAACCACCGAAATAGTACTTAAATAGCATTTGGCTTGTTTAATTCGCTGCATGTGTAAATGCTCCACAACACCCTGCCTGAATCAGGGGGCAAAGAGATTAAAATCCAGTCTGAAGCTCAGGTAGTCAAAGCTGAATATTTTTTTTTTTTTTTGCACAATGCTGAATTGGTTCCAAGCCAGATGGTGTTGCTCTTCAGTTCAACTGTGAATGTCTTAGAAAAAGCCTTAAAAAATAGCAACTAAATGTACAAAATATTATGTGTTTTTGTACTGTGTGGTTCTAAAGCTTTATGTTGAGACCTTATGACTTGCCTATGTGGTAAGCATGTTCCTGGGAATAAATGCAGGCACTGAGAGCTCGCAATCCCATCTTAAATAGTTTCACACTCAAGCAGTTATGCCAAATGTGTTTTAACGGCTTTGTGCACTTCTTCCTCTGAGCAGATGGATGGGAAAGTGCTAGTCTGAGTGAGGAAGACAATGAAGATGGAGAATGGATTGATGTGCATCACTCGTCAGATGAGGAGCAGCAAGAAGTAGTAAGTTCTTAGTATCTTCTATTCCAAATACAACTGAGTCTTGTTAACAGCAGACCAGGTTCTCTTGCGCTGTAGCTTGGCATGGCTGTTGATAAGTAACTGTACAGGGCTGCAAAGTAATTTGATGGGAAACCTGTGCTGAAGTAGGCATGTTGTTAGCGTGAGGGAAAGGTATGGCCGAGTTCTGTTCCAGTTTTGAGTTCCTTAAAAGCTATTGTATGTACACGAGTGCTTTTAATGACTTTCCAATATGGAGTGCATGTACTTCATTTTTCTCTTACTAGATGTTAGATATTAGGCTTTAAGTCTTTAAAGAATCCTAATACCTGGCTGTAGCGTTTCCCAACAATATTGCACTTACATAGGTATTGGGGAGGCCAAAGTTGTGGGTTGTGGTACAGAAATCATTCGTGGAGCTCTGTCTAATTCTTCTTTTGTATTTTTTCCAAAGGCAGAGAAAGTGAAAAGCATGCCACTAGATGAACGCAAGGCCAAAGCCGCAGCAGTCAGTACAAGCAGGCTGCTAACTCAGGAAGAGTTCCACAAAATCCGTCTTGCCCAGCTTTCCAAAGAACTTAATTCTGCACCTGGCAAAGCTGCAAAGAGGAAAAATATTGAAATAGATGAGGAAGAGGAGGGCAGGTAGGGTATGGACTACTGATGATTGCTTTCTCTTCTCTCTGATCTGGTGATAAAGCTTTGAATTGCAGCAGGCCACCGGGCTCTGCTCCTGGGCAATATTCCCTGGTGACAAGTGGCAAACAGCCACCCAGCTTAGAATGGGTACTGGCCTGCAGATTTGGTTGTATCGGGGGGCGAAAGAACAAGAGGGCCTGATCAAGACTGAGACTGTTCAACTTACTCAGACCAATAGCAGTGTGTTGTGTGGTTTTTTTGGTAGCACTAGTTGCATGGTTATATTTCCACGGTTTCTTAAACTTGGTGGAGAAAGCAAGACATGAAAAACAGTAAGGAGAGACTTCTGTAAGAGTTACCCCAAGCATAAGGATTAGCCTGAGAGAGAGAACAAGAAGTGCTTGTGTGCATGTTCATAGGAACACTACTGTGTGAGAGGGAGTCGAGAGGGCATCTTTTTTCCTTGCCTTACAAAGTTTTCTCTGTGTGATGTCATTTTGTTGTGTTTTTGTGTGTTTAGGGGAGAGTTGCTTTCACTCAGAGATATTGAACATCTGCATAAGAAGCCTAAATCAGATAAGGAGACCAGACTGGCAACTGCAATGGTGAGTAACCCAGGCTATTTCATATCCTCTGTCTTTCTAGATTTGGTTTTGTTTGTCTCCTGCAGAAGGTGGAGGTGGTGGGGTTGCGTGTCTGAGATGGATGTCCAGCTATCATCAGTGTTTGCGAAATGTTTTTATAGTGTTGGGCTTCTGCATCTCAGCTGTAAAAAATAAAAGTTTCTTAATAGTCACAGATGACAATGAAAATGTAGACACACATGATTTTCACTCTGACATAAGAAACATGGCTGTGTATGTAACATCAATAGGAAGCTATCCTGAACCTGGATTGATAGCTACTGCCATAGAACTTGTCACCTGAACAGCTGATGCTAACTGCAGGGAAAGGAAAATGACCTCCTGCTGCTATTTTATTTCGTTGTCTACACTAGGCTGGAAAAACGGACAGAAAAGAATTTGTGAAAAAGAAAACAAGGATTAACCCATTTGCCAGCTCTTCCAACAAAGAAAAGAAAAAGCACAAGAACTTCATGATGATGAGATACAGCCATAGTGTCCGGACCAAAAATAAGCGCTCATTCAGGGAAAAACAGGTAATATTTAATGTTGTGAATGTATGGGGCAGTCTGAGCAGTAGATTTCTAAGACAGGTGAAGTGTTGTCTAAGCTGTGCCTTAAGGCATTGCCAGTGGGAAGGACTCTGGGCTGGGGGGCTTGTGTTGAGTCCTACTCCAGAGAAGGCCTGTCAGACTGCAGCGATGAGTCCTTCTGGCAGTCTCTGCTCCTTAATAGGCACTGAGGACCAAGCCCTCTTGCCAAGATGTGTATGTTAGCAATGTAATGATAATGTCTTTTTCTCTTTATTTAAGTTCAAGAATATCATGTTAGAATCTTGACTTGTGGTAGAAAAATGCTTTCCTGATACAGAAGACAAGCTTCTAGTGTTTCTCTTGACTCTTGGTATTCTTTCTTTGACCTTTGTCCTGTTACTGTCAGGAACTTGTGTGTCCCAGCCTTGAGGTCACCTAATAGCTTGTCAGGAGTGTACTTATAGCACAGACTTAAATGCTACTTATTTTACCTATTTGAAACTGCTCCTGTGTTGCACCGCAGCTGGAGATAATGCTTGAACTGTGTGTGGCAGCTGTTGCCAGCGCATTGGTGCAGGCACATTGCCCTGCCCTGCTGTGTTTCACCTTGGCAGGGTTAAGTCCTTGCTGAAAATCATGATCTGCCTTGGAAGTCTTTTATCAAACTTGGCAGGTGACCAGCCTAGGCTTTTATATGCTGTTAAAAAGATGTAACTCCTTTGAGCAATTTCTGAGAACCTGACAGAATAAGCCCATTACGCAGGGGTCTTGTTTCTGTGTGCTGTTAAGCTTTGTGATTTTTTTTTTTTTTTCTGGGTTCTGTCTTGTGCTAGAGAGCTTTCAGATGTGTCTTTCACAAACCTTCCTCTGAGTTGTTTCCAGCATTGTATCATAATGATTGTGTTTATTTGTCTGCAGTTTGTTGCCTTAAAAGCAGCAAGACTGAAATAGTTTATACATCTAATAGAGGGAACATCATAGGTGTTTCTGATGAAACAGGAAGATATTGGAGTAACCTGCTCCGTAGTCTTTTACTGTCATTCAGCCTCACCTCACCTAAGGCTGACTGCGGGAACCCAGCTCTTGGAACACACTAAAAATGTTGCAAATGAACAGTTCAGAACCTTTCAGGAAACTGCTCTTTGTAGTGGTTATTATACTTTACTCACCTTTACTAAAAAGCAATCCTGAATGTTTTAAATCCTCCTAGCAATTAATTCATGTTTCAGGTCAAAATGTAACAGTTACAGTGGAAAAATAACTTTTTAGGTGTTTTTATTTTAACTCAAGTTAGGCTACAGCATCTGTTGATCGTTATTTGGAAATAATTGTTAAAAAAGGCTTGGAATACTGTAATTGTAGGATACTGTATTGTGCTGCCCTGTTTGGTAGAATAAAATGGAATGTTGTCTCTAGTCCAGAGCTAGAACCCTTGAGAAGAAACTTTGTAATACTCTTTGAAAAAATGCCACTGAATCCTACTTACCTCTCAGCTGAAGTTTGTTTTTTTCTTGATCTCTTCTAATTGAATATGAGTCAGTGAAAGAAGAGGTTTTGTTACTCTCATCTTTCTCATAACATAGGATTTGCTAATAATGTACTGAAACACTTGTGATTTTGAAGCCCAATTCTTAAAGTTGTGCTATGGAGTTAACTAAATAACCACAGGATTTCTGCTGCTGTAGTTGGTAGCATTTGCCAGTTACTGCTCCCGGTTTTAGCTGTTCAGCTATTTGTGTCTCAGAGTTGGAACAAATTGAATGAAGTTGTTGATGTCACAGTGATGTCTCCTTACCTGAATATTCCTCTTTTGTTTCATATTTAGCTGGCTCTTCGAGATGCACTTCTGAAAAAGAGAAAACGGCTGCTGAAATGAAACAGTAGTGGAGAAGAGTACTTAACCATCTGTGAAGAAGTAGCCCTAGAAAGGCTTATTTGCATCCCCTGCCACCCCAAGGGAAAAAAGGGACTGAAATGCCTTATTTATCCATATTCTGTTCAGAATTACAATTTGAATGCTTCCAAGCTGTTAGATATTGCATCTATAAGACAGATGGAAGAGGCCTTAATCCTTGAAGGATTTAGATTTTATTTTTCTTTAAAGCATTCTAGGGAAGAAGGCAATTGTCTTTTCTTGAATAAAACTTACTTGGAGTTGGTTTTGTATGTCTAAGTATTAAAACATACAACCTTAATGTAAAAATTTTCTACTGGAAGCAATTTACTAATAGACAATTGGAAGGAAAAAAGAATATTCTGGCTCAGTTGATAAACCATGTGTATATGCCTGTGCCTGTCTTACGGATGTGATTTTTACAGACTAATCCATTTAAGTGGTTGCGTTTTATCTCTTCAATAATAATAAAGCCATATCCTTTTAATACAGTTAAGTTAAAGTGAGCAGTTAAGGAGAAGAACAGTTTTGTTTATAGTTTGTGAAGAAAAGAGACAAATGAGGAGTGGGAGGCATTTTTTATGTTGCCATTTAAATAGAAAGGTAGTATCAGATGCAGGAGAATGAACTAATTTTCCTGTATGGGTGCATCTTGTGAGTCTTGCTGGTGTCTGATTTACACAGTATGCCTGAAAACATGAGTCTGTGGATTCTTCATTTCGAAAGTTAAACTCTCGCTTCAGCCTTGAATAATGGCTTCTTTGTACCTCATACAGCGCCTGTTTTAATGTCAACTTGAGGGAGTTGGTTTTATCACCCTCTGTTTGTGGGGCAGGAACAGGTGCCATATGCACACCATGATGCAAAAGCTTTTGGTGCTGTGTGTGTATTGCATCTCTTTTCAGGAAGCCAGGTTTAACGTTTATATCCTAGAGGGGAATACACTCAGCTTGGGTCTGTCAGGTTGAACACACAATTGTATTGACTTGAGTTCTTAGTATCTGTCTTCCTGCTAGATTTTTAGGCCACTTCTTGCTTCCCAAAGAACAAAAATGTTTACAGAGGCTTCAGGCCCATAGAAGAAAGCAGCAGAAATTTTGAAATGGGAATGAAACATTGGCATAGGCCCTAGCTCAGCAGAGGGAGAGGCAGATTGCTACTGGGCTGTGATGTGGAGCGGGAGAGGTTGATCAGTGTGGAGGCAGCTGCCGTGCTGGAGCAGCTGAGTGTGGAAGAGGGGCTAAAGAGGCCCTAGAACTCTTTTCCTTGTTCCCTGTTTTACCTGTATGTGCTTTTGACCACCAGGTAAGATGTCTGAGGCTGAATGGAGAAGTCTTTTTTGAGTCCTCTCTGTTCCCCTTGCCCTTGCAGGGGCGGTCAGTGAGCTGAGAGCGAGGCCTGGTTGCTGCCAAGTGTCTGTCTTCTCTATTTATAAAGAGATGCGAGTTGGGCCGTCTCTTCCCTAAAGAGAAGGGCAGGGGCAGTGAAAGGGTGGCGTCAGGCCTTGTGCTCTCTGCCCCGCCTGAGGGGACGCGCCACC